ATCTATGATATTTTTTTCAAAATTATATAATAAACACGATGTATAACATATAAATATGATAAATACACCCCCCAGGGGAATAAATAAACATAAATATGAGATGTGGTAGCAGACGCCTTGCACAAGTGACGCCATATTAGAAATAATAATAATAATAATAATAATAATAATAATAATCACTGAGTCTCATTAAATGTCGTATATTACATTAATATTTACACATTTTCATTAATCCATCCATGATATTTTTTTCAAAATTATATAATAAACATGATACATAACATATAAAGATGATAAATACACCCCACAATAGAATAAATAAACATAAATATGAGATGTGGTAGCCAGATAACTTGTACAAGTGACGGCAAGAATAACATTTTCTCTAATCTAACGTAAGAGAAAATGTGTTACTGGGGGTAACTGGAGAAAATTATTCCTTTTGTATGTATGTAAGTAAGTTTATTCAGGTATACACAAATACAGTTACATAGATTATCATATATAACAGCATATGTGTAGAGAACCTGGGATAACCCAAAAAAAGTCAGAGTGACTTATTTCCATTGCCTTCACTCAGAGCGTTATTTCTTCTCAAAATGATGTTACATGAGAATGGGAGTGTTCTTCTTTATTTATTCTACCGTGGTTGGTGCAATTATTTAATAAATGTATGGAAGAGGGTAAGGTACCTAGGGATTGGCAGAGAGCATGCATAGTTCCTATGTATAAAGGCAAAGGGGATAAAAGAGAATGCAAAAATTATAGGGGGATAAGTCTGTTGAGTATACCTGGCAAAGTGTATGGTAGAGTTATTATTGAAAGAATTAAGAGTAAGACGGAGAATAGGATAGCAGATGAACAAGGAGGCTTTAGGAAAGGTAGGGGGTGTGTGGACCAGGTGTTTACAGTGAAACATATAAGTGAACAGTATTTAGATAAGGCTAAAGTGGTCTTTGTGGCATTTATGGATTTGGAAAAGGCGTATGACAGGGTGGATAGGGGGGCAATGTGGCAGATGTTGCAGGTGTATGGTGTAGGAGGTAGGTTACTGAAAGCAGTGAAGAGTTTTTACGAGGATAGTGAGGCTCAAGTTAGAGTATGTAGGAAAGAGGGAAATTATTTCCCAGTAAAAAGTAGGCCTTAGACAAGGATGTGTGATGTCACTGTGGTTGTTTAATATATTTATAGATGGGGTTGTAAGAGAAGTAAATGCGAGGGTCTTGGCAAGAGGCGTGGAGTTAAAAGATAAAGAATCACACATAAAGTGGGAGTTGTCACAGTTGCTCTTTGCTGATGACACTGTGCTCTTGGGAGATTCTGAAGAGAAGTTGCAGAGATTGGTGGATGAATTTGGTAGGGTGTGCAAAAGAAGAAAATTGAAAGTGAATACAGGGAAGAGTAAGGTTATGAGGATAACAAAAAGATTAGGTGATGAAAGATTGGATATCAGATTGGAGGGAGAGAGTATGGAGGAGGTGAATGTATTCAGATATTTGGGAGTGGACGTGTCAGCGGATGGGTCTATGAAAGATGAGGTGAATCATAGAATTGATGAGGGGAAAAGGGTGAGTGGTGCACTTAGGAGTCTGTGAGACAAAGAACTTTGTCCTTGGAGGCAAAGAGGGGAATGTATGAGAGTATAGTTTTACCAACGCTCTTATATGGGTGTGAAGCATGGGTGATGAATGTTGCAGCGAGGAGAAGGCTGGAGGCAGTGGAGATGTCATGTCTGAGAGCAATGTGTGGTGTGAATATAATGCAGAGAATTCGTAGTTTGGAAGTTAGGAGGAGGTGCGGGGATTACCAAAACTGTTGTCCAGAGGGCTGAGGAAGGGTTGTTGAGGTGGTTCGGACATGTGGAGAGAATGGAGCGAAACAGAATAACTTCAAGAGTGTATCAGTCTGTAGTGGAAGGAAGGCGGGGTAGGGGTCGGCCTAGGAAAGGTTGGAGGGAGGGGGTAAAGGAGGTTTTGTGTGCGAGGGGCTTGGACTTCCAGCAGGCATGCGTGAGCGTGTTTGATAGGAGTGAATGGAGACAAATGGTTTTTAATACTTGACGTGCTGTTGGAGTGTGAGCAAAGTAACATTTATGAAGGGGTTCAGGGAAACCGGCAGGCCGGACTTGAGTCCTGGAGATGGGAAGTACAGTGCCTGCACTCTGAAGGAGGGGTGTTAATGTTGCAGTTTAAAAACTGTAGTGTAAAGCACCCTTCTGGCAAGACAGTGATGGAGTGAATGATGGTGAAAGTTTTTCTTTTTCGGGCCACCCTGCCTTGGTGGGAATCGGCCAGTGTGATAATAAAAAAAAAATAAAATAAATCTATGTATAGACAACCTGTACACAATATAACTTGTACACAAATCAGACGTGTACACTTTTTGTTTACAAGACTTACATTCGCCTGGTTTGTTTACATAACTCTGCACCTGTCCTCTCTCATGCGCTCATTCTTTCTCTCTCATTTATTCGTTTTATCTCATTTACTTACTCCTGACCCTACATTAAGACTACAAATATTTTAAGGTAAGTAATGAGTGAACTGTATATACATTTTATTGCTCTGGGATGCTTAAATATCATAGAATATATGTGTGGGTGGGTTGGCCTGGTATGGTAGCCCGGCTGACTACCATACATACCACACTTGATTTTTTACAATAAATACTACTTGTCTCACCCTAGATTATTAAGACTATAAATATGTTAAGGTAAGTACTGAGTGCACTATGTGTGTATTGTACTTTTTTATTGTTTTTTGATGCCTAGTTCTATTGCTAACTTAATGTATGTTAGTGTAAACTTGTTATCTAGTATTTGTATGCATTTATAAGTGGAAAAAAAGGGTGTTCCACTTTACGGCGATTTCCACTTTACGGCATTAGCCTGGAACCTAACCTGCCATATAAGTGGGGCCCTACTGTATATATCAGGTTTCTATGTTATTTATATTGTTTATTATGTCATATTAGATGAATTGAGATAGATAAATAAGCCGTAGAGTTGTTATTAGCGAAATTATTGAAGTACATAATTCTACTGAAACGGATTAATTGCATTTCAGTTAATTTAAATGAGGAAAATTGACTCTGGAAACGAGCAAATCCAGTTGCGAGCAAGGTCATGGAACAGATTAAACTCGCAAGTAGAGTTCCACTGTATTTGTATCTTAAACAGGCTTTTTAAAAGCATGAATTAATTATTACAGGTAAATGAGGATATCAACATCTTTCATCTTCTTTTAACAAACTGGCCGAAACCCACCGAGGCAGGGTGGCCCAAAAAGAAAAACGAAAGTTCCTCTTTTTTAATTTAATGATAAATACAGGAGAAGGGGTCACTAGCCCCTTGCTCCCCGAATTTTAGTTGCCTTTTATGACACACATGGCTTATGGGGGAAGAATTCTGTTCTACTTCCCCATGGAGATAAGCAGAAATAAACAAGAACAAGAACTAGGAAGAAAATCCAGAGGGGTCTGTATATATATGCTTATACATGCATGTGTAGTGTGACCTAAGTGTAAGTAGAAGGCGCAAGACGTACCCGAAACCTTGCATGTTTATGGGACAGAAAAAAATTATGGCAGCAATCCTACCATCATGTAAAACAGTTATAGGTTTCCGTTTCACACTCACTTGACGGGACGGAAATACCTCCTTGGGTTGTTGCTGTCTACCAACCTACTACCTAGGGCATAACATATACTAAGGAAACTAAAGTTATTGTGAAAAGTCATTACTATCAGAAATTTATTAGGCTCGAACATTAAGCATATGGTCAACCAAATGGAATTCCTAAGGTAAACTCCCTTTCCTTGATATTCTATATAACTTGGTTAATGGTGATTCAGTGGTACCTCGATATTCGAACATCATCCATTCCAGGAGGCTGTTCATATATTGTGTTGTACAAATATTGAATCAATTTCTCCCATAAGAAATAATGTAAATTGGATTAATCCAATCCATACCCCAAAAAATTACTAATTATAAAACATTTTAAGTGAAAATATTGCTTATTTAAACCTGTATAATAATAGTTACATTCTTAAAATGATACATGAAAAGTATAAAAGCAATAAATACATGAAATATATGAAAAATTAACTGCACTTGACCTTTACTGAGGAGTGCTGATGGCCTAAGAGAAAGGTGGAGAAATGTTATTGTTTGGAAAGTTTGTCACCTTCCATAAAAAAATCAAGTGATTGCCTGTCTGGTGTTTTCTTCTCTTTTCTGTCTCTTTGCATTGGCACTTGAGGATTAAAGGGATTGAATCACTAGCTTTTGATTTTTTTCTTTGCTGAAGAAGCTGTCCAATGTTGTCTGCATTTAATAACTTTTAAAAATTTTTCTAAAGTGGTCAACAACAGTGTCATTGAACTTTTGATGCTCCTATTATGCCATTTTTCTGCCAGGCTCTGTGTTTGAGCCTAATGGTAACACAGTTCCTTAATTTCTGCAGTGGAAATATTGCCCTTACTGCTTTCCTCCTCCTCCTCCTCCTCCTCCTCCTCCTCTGAAGATATTTCATCAACCACTTCTTCCTCCTGCTCCTTATGCAGGTCTTGAAGTTCTTCTGTGGTGAGCTCATTCATTAATTCTGACACTCTTACAACTCACTCCCACACATGAACATACATGTACCTTAATGCACATTCATTTTTTTTTTTTCACTGCACAAGACTGGTGGAATAAGAAGGGAAGACAAGGAAATAATTTTAAGAGTAATTCTAACCTTGTTTCCATTCTGAGAAAAGCTGGAGTAGGGAGCTGGGGTTATTGGGGCTGGTAATACCTCCTTCAGTTGATGTGGCAACTGACACTTATCTATTATTCCTCATTACAGACTGAAAAACCATTTTATGAACCTGTGGAACACCACTTGATTTTTAGTTAACTTTAACTGATAACTAAAACAGATGCTTTACATTAGTTTTCATTCTCAGGTACTGAATACAAAGTGAAATAAAATTGACATGTCACCTTGTTACTGCAGGAGATGACTGAAGTGGAGGACTTGCAGGAGGAAACTGGAGGTGAGGCAGTCATTGAAGCTCTGCTGGAGGGTCAAGTTATCACCATCTTGGTCCACAATCTCCAGCGCTTGGATGAAACTCTTAAACCAGAAGCTGACGGTGTTCATAATACCTTAGGTATGCTATAATAGTAAAGATTTTTTATTTAACATTTTGTTCAGCATTGATAGTTAATATTATACAGGGTGTTCAAAAATGACACAGTTGATGGAAAATGCATGTTTATTAATAAATTACAAAATGTGAATGTGTTGGTAGTTCAGGTTTTAAATAAATGTACATGACAAGTTATTGAACACTTATTTAAATGTCTCTTGATATGCTTTCTTTGCTAAATGAATATGTTCTTGTAATATGAGCTCCTTTCTTTTTACCTAATACTCAGTGAAACAGAAACAAAACACAATGGGTTACATTTCTTTTTGAACATCTTGCATTATAATAGTGTTTACTTTGAGGTGTACAGTACCTAGTGAGCTACGGTGCCATGATAAACATTATTCAGAACATATAGTCATGTGCAACATAACGTTTTGGTCATCAACAGTCCACATATACAATAGTGGTGTAAACGAACCTAATGTACTGCCAGTCATATAAAAGTATAGCATATACAATTTGTACAGTTCATAATACTTGATAATGATGATAATAAACAACTATGTTACTGGTTTATGTATTTACATTTCTTTTTATTGTTATTCTAGAGTGTACTCTTTCTACACATAAATATGTTTACTGTAAAACAGTATGCAGTGTTATACCCGCAGCAGCCTAATACATCTTGTGTTTTCATCTAGGTTTTCATTAATAGAGAGGAATGTTCATGATGCATTATCTACTTACAAGCAAATCTATAATGAAAATCAAACAAACCATATAGCTTAGGTGTGTAATAGGCTATATCACCTAGGTTTTTATAAGTAGAGTAGACCCCCCTGTATCCGTGGGTTCAGTTTCCGTGGTTTCAGTTATCTGTAGTTCACTGTGGCCTGAAAATATTAAGAGGGAGAGCAGGATTCAACTAGGAAAATTTTAATGATGGTCTGATTTCAATTATTTTTTTTTATTGTAAGTTAAGAAGGTGGTTTGAAGTGTATATGTACTAGAGGTTTCATAGAGTTTGCCCAAAAATAAGAAGAGAAAAAATAAAATAATGATTTTTGATATGGCAACACTGGTAAAATTTGTGCCAAATTGTTAATGTTTAGGATGTTATAGTTGACTTTACATGAACAAGTAAAGGTTAAAGATGAATTGTATGGAAGGAATTGAACAATATATCATTATATTGTACCCCAAAATTCTTAATTTTGTATTTTTTTTTTTTTTTTGGGGGGGGATTTTAACCCTATTTGGCAACAGAGCCTCAAATATTCAACTCAACATACTGATAAATGAAAAGAGTAAGGTGAAAAGAAAAGAAAAGAAAAGAGTAAGGTGATGAGAGTATCAAATGATTTAGATAAAGAAAAATTGGATATCAAATTGGGGAGGAGTATGGAAGAAGTGAATGTTTTCAGATACAGTGGACCCTCGACATTCGATATTAATCCGCTCCTGAGAGCTCGTCGAATGTCGAAAATATTGAAAGTCGAATTAATTTTCCCCATAAGAAATAATGGAAATCAAATTATTCCGTGCAAGACACCCAAAAGTATAAAAAAAAAAATTTTTACCACATGAAATATTAAGTTTAATACAATAGAATAATTACAATAACAATAAATTAATAACAATAGAATAATTGACACTTACCTTTAATGAAGATCTGGTGATGATTGATGGGATGGGAGGAGGGGAGAGTGTGGATGGTGTTAATGTTTAGAAGGGGAATCCCCTTCCATTAGGACTTGAGGTATCAAGTCTTTTTCCGGGGTTACTTCCCTTCTTCTTTTAATGCCACTAGGACCAGCTTGAGAGTCACTGGACTTCTGTCGCACAACATATCTGTCCATAGAGGCCTGTACCTCTCGTTCCTTTATAGCTTTCCTAAAGTGATTCACAACATTATCAGTGTAATAGTCACCAGCACGGCTTGCAGTAGCTGTGTCAGGGTGATTTTCATCAAAAAAGGTTTGCACTTCAAGCCACTTTGCACACATTTCCTTAATCTTTGAAGTAGGCAACTCAATAGTCATTAGCACCTTTTTTCTCGAAGGGTTGGCACTAGAAGCTTTCTTGGGGCCCATGGTTACTTATTTTGCAGAAACAAGCACCAAAAACAGTGATAATATGGATAATATGGAATGTACCGAATGTATCCTTAGATGCGCGCACACTGGCTGGCTTGTAAACACTGGCACACGTGGGGCAGTTCAGGCCACACGTGGACACGTCTCGTACGAATCGTATCGAATAACGAGTTTTCGATCGAATGTCGAGGCGAAATTTTTGCGTTAAAATGCATTGAATGTCGGATTTATTGAATGTCGATGCCATTGAATGTCGGGGGTCCACTGTATTTGGGAGTTGACGTGCCAGCGGATAGATTTATGAAGGATGAGGTTAATCATAGAATTGATGAAGAAAAAAAGGTGAGTGGTGCATTGAGGTATATGTGGAGGCAAAAAATGTTATCTATGGTGGCAAAGAAGGGAATGTATGAAAGTATAGTAGTACCATCACTCTTATATGGGTGTGAAGCTTGGGTTGTAAATGCTGCAGCGAGGAGGCGGTTGGAGGCAGTGGAGATGTCCTGTCTAAGGGCAATGTGTGGTGTAAATATTATGCAGAAAATTCGGAGTGTGGAAATTAGGAGAAGGTGTGGAGTTAATAAAAGTATTAGTCAGAGGGCTGAAGAGGGTTTGTTGAGGTGGTTTGGTCATTTAGAGAGAATGGATCAAATTAGAATGACATGGAGAGCGTATAAATCTGTAGGGGAAGGAAGGCGGGGTAGGGGTCGTCCTCGAAAAGGTTGGAGGGAGGGGGTAAAGGAGGTGTTGTGGGCGAGGGGTTTGGACTTCCAGCAAGCATGCGTGAGCATGTTAGATGGGAGTGAATGGAGACAAATGGTATTTGGGACCTGACGATCTGTTGGAGTGTGAGCAGGGTAATATTTAGTGAAGGGATTCAGGGAAATCGGTTATTTTATATAACCAGACTTGAGTCCTGGAAATGGGAAGTACAGTGCCTGCACTCTAAAGGAGGGGTTTGGGATATTGGCAGTTTGGAGAGATAAGTTGTGTGTTTTTATATGTATATACTTCTAAACTGTTGTATTCTGTGCACCTCTGCAAAAACAGTGATTATGTGTGAGTGAGGTGAAAGTGTTGAATGATGATGAAAGCTTTTTCTTTTTGGGGATTTTCTTTCTCTTTGGGTCACCCTGCCTCGGTGGGAGATGGCCGATTTGTTGAAAAAAAAAAATATCAAGACACACGGAGGGCAAATTTCTAGGTCTTCTCCTTGACGGTAATCTTAAATTTCAGTCCCATACCCATCACATAGCCAATAAAATTTCCAAATCAGTAGGAATCCTTTCCAAGATACCCTACTATGTACCACAAATGACTCTCCTTACCCTGTACCACTCTCTAATACAGTGGATCCCCGCTTTACGATCACCTCCCAATGCAACCAATTATGTAAGTGCGTTTGTATGTGTATGTTTGGGGGTCTGAAATGGACTAATCTAATTCACAATAGTCCTTATGGGAACAAATTTGTTCAGTACTGGCACCTGAACATACGTCTGGAATGAAATAATATCGTAAACCGGGGGTCCACTGTATATCCTTACCTCACCTAAGGTATCTGTGCTTGGGGCTCAACCACAGCCAACCACCTTAGACCCTTAATAATCCAACAAAAAGCTGCTTTGCGGGTGATAACCAGCTCCTGTGCTAGACAGCACACCCCACCACTTTTCAAAAGACTCAGCTTGCTAAATATACAAGACATACACTCTTATTATTGTGCCTACTACATATACAGAACTTTAAACTCCACTGTAAACCCTCCCCTAAAACTACTCCTCGACAGTTACAACAGAATGCACAGTCACAATACAAGGCATAAGGCCCTTTTCAACATCCCTCGAGTAAGACTCTCACTATGCAAGAACGCTATGCATATAAAAGGCCAAAAGATCAGGAACTCGCTACCAGAACAGGTCAAGGATCCCCAGACAACTTATAAATTTAGGACTCTGCTAAAAAATCATCTTATCTCACAATATTAACCAAATCAACCAAACATCTACTGGCTAGTTTTATCATGTGACCTCCTAGCTTTTAATTCTGCCATTCCATAAAATATTACCACCTGCACCATTCCCTGTAAATTAGATTTTGTACTAAGGATACATAAGATTTAATAAGTCCAAATAAGATTGTAAAACAGCTAACCACTATTCTATGTATAGTTTTAAGTAATAATTACAATGTACTATTATCTTATCTAGTTTTAATTAGTTACTATGTATTAGGATTAGTTTGCCCGAAATGCCTCGGCATGATAGTGGCTATCTTTGTACTTAGCAAATCAAAACTGTAATTACACATTGTAACCTTTACAAAGAAATAAAATTATTATTATTATTATTATTATTATTATTATTATTATTATTATTACAGTGGACCCTCAACCAGCGATTGCATCGATTAACGATAAATCTGACTAGCGATTCATTTAAACGCAAAAATTTTGCCTCGACTAGCGCTTAAAAACCCGACCAGCGCTTTTTGTTCCGTACCATACGCGTCCACTTTGGCCTGAGCGCGCCTCACTTGTCCCTTTGGTGCCAGTGTTTACAAGCCAGCCAGCCACTGCGGTCGCTTCCAAACATGCAACTGGAACATTTCATATTATCACAGCCTTTTTAGTGATTGCACCTGCAAAATAAGTCACCATGGGCCCCAAGAAAGCTTCTAGTGCCAACCCTACAGCAAAAAGGGTGAGAATTACTATGGAGATGAAGAAAGAGATCATTGATAAATATGAAAGTGGAGTGCGTATCTCTGAGCTGGTCAGGTTGTATAATAAACCCCAATCAACCATCGCTACTATTGTGGGCAAGAAAACGGCAATCAAGGAAGCTGTTCTTGCCAAAGGTGCAACTATGTTTTCGAAACTGAGATCGCAAGTACTCGAAGATGTTGAGAGACTGTTATTGG